AGTTATGAAAATGTAACACAGCCTACGGGCGAAATATATTTTATGACATATTGTTTTAAAAGCGTATAGATTTTCATTAACATTAAAAATTAAAGAATTGGACTTCTGCGTTAAAAAAATTATTTACAACGAGAGCTATGTTATTACTAATAAAACAAAAATTCAAATTAAATTCCGATTAATTTAAGTTAAAATTAACCAATGCTATACAATTAATTCTACTTTACGCTTTGCTATTATTGGTAATAAAGATCCTGGTTATCATCGTTCCGCTCGGTTTGTGAAAGAAACTGAACAAATATTTGATTTGGAAACATTTCTCAAAAAGTATTTTTATCTTCACTTGTCACGTACGGATCCTTGTATTTGTTATTGTGTTATCACAGGACTAATGATAACCAAAAAGGCAAAATAATATTACCAGAGGAAGACAGCGTAATTATCTCGCTACTTACTAAATTTATTAAAACATTTTTCAAAGAGCAAGTTGCCCAACTGAACTCGAGAAAAATTATATAAAATAAATATCGAGAAGAAAATTATATTCAAGTACCTACTGCCAAGAAATTGCCTTCATTTAAAAACCAATTAAACATTTACTACTCTATTTAAACATTTTTAACTGTAAAATTTTATACAGATGTATTAAATACATATATGTATTTATTAAAGAAAAAAGAATAATTTGTTATAAATATCACAACAGTTTTTAAATGAAGGATATTAGAGAGAGAATAATATAGGTATAAAAAACAGTAAAGATATGTGTTTTTATTCTCAAATTAATTTTTAAAACTACCAGTGACATAAAAATAAATATCAGTTTCGAAACTCTTAATTTAAATTTTATTATTTCTACATATTATCTCTTTAATTAAATTGTCGATAGAATGTATAATTATTTCTTAAAATTTAGTGGATGCTAAATCAATGCGCTTCTCTTATCGCCGTAGTCGCCTGTAATTTTCCGTGTATCTCTTTAAATTGGATTGTCCTAAATACTTTAGTCATAAAGTATCTTTTATAGCGTATTACGCGTTCTTTGCCAGTTATGTTTCGCCGAGGCCATATAGAGCGGCTTGTATAAAACGCGCGGACACGCACGTGCGTCGTCCACGAAGGGAGACACGCAAGCGACCCGCGGAGGGTGCTGGTTGGACTTAGGCCGTGTTTGGTCATCGAGCACGCAAGATTTCTCCCGCATTGTTCGCGGATCCCCTTTGCTTTGGAGAACCGGTTGCACCGCGCACCACGTCACTGCTTGCTTACGCCGCCATTTAAGGCGGATAAAATATATCGAGGAATGTCTTGAACAAAGAGATATTTTCAGTGACTTCCCCTTTCTTTCTGTCGGGCTTAAAGTGCTTAAACGCGCCGTCGATGTGTCTCTTTAACGCCAACTCCCGGAGACAACTCCCGGATATCTCCTGTAATCATGTATACTGATTTTTTTCACAATCCTCTCCAAGTGATTTAGTTAAATATAAATATAGAGGAAACAGATAAATGTTAAGTATAAAAAATTAAAATATTTTGATTATCAACTTTGCAACATATTTTTTAGCGCGCAGGAAATAGCAACGTGACGATTGCCATGATTATTAGGAATTATAACAGCATGAACAAGTCATGAAAAGAACGGGGAAAAGGTCATGAAAAAGATGAGAAAAGTTATTAAAGGCGACATTAAGTACACCTAGTGCGAGTTCCCCCATTAAACGTTATCGGTAGCACCAATGAACTCTGAAGCCGAACAAAAGGACAAGGTCATAACGTTTGTTACTCCTGGCATCACAA